CACCTCATCCCATCCTATTCACCTTAATCCTTCACAAGCCTCTATTCCGATCTTCGATCCATCTAAGGCAATGAAGGTTGAGATTGATTAGCATTCGGCATCTGTTTTCTGGCGGCTAGCTCTATCGATTAAGATTCGGGTTTGTAGTGAAAAGGGGGGAAAATGGGGGAGGAGAGGGGAAATCTTTTAGCCCAATCTCTTAAACATGGTGTTCATCTTCCCAGACCCGTGGCTTTTTCCAGATCTACGGGTTTAAAGTTGAAAGGGTAAGTCCAAAGCTTCCCGCTAGAATAGCTACACAACAGTTACGATGGACATCCTTGTATCTAGATATATTTCAATCTCTCAGTCCCGAAATAACTGCTTGGAGATACATATCAAATCCCGGATATTTTGCTTAGCTCAATCTCCCGTTCCCGAAATAACTGCCTGGAGATACACATTGGATCCCGGAGATCTTGCTTGGCATCTTGATTGGCATGCCGCGTGGATTCTGCATCGGAACATATAAATACCTCTTAAGGGCCACGCCAAAAGGTAATTGAAACCAACCCTAAGCTCCTTGTTTCTCCGCTCTAAAGGTAGCCTCGATTATTGCTGACTTAAGCATCGGAGTGTCTACCCCGAGGATCCACCTCAGGGCTTTGCAGGTTGATCCAGAGCGCAGATATGGACTGAAGAAGGACTTCCGGTTTGGTGCAGTTACATTTTGGCGCCGTCTGTGGGAACCTGAACTAAAGGCTCCCTTGTTGCTCTTATCATGGTCAAAACTAGGTCAGCCCGAGGGGGAAACTCGTCTCAACCTCTTGGACGAGGTCAGGCCCCCAGCAACCTTCCACCTCATCCCCCACCCCCAATCCCGAATATACTCCCTCATGCTAACCATACAGAAGGAGGGGATGAAAATCAGCCACACAATTCGACTCACAATTCAGCCTCTACCGCTAACCAAGACATAGTTGCAACTCAACTTGCTGCCATGCAACAGCAGTTTGGTGTCTTTCAGCAAGTGTTGGCTCAGCTGTTAACCCGGAATAATCCTGGTGATCCACTCATCAATTTACTTAATCCTGCCCCACCACAACCCCCAGCCCCACCACAAAATCCTAAGCCCGTTCAACATGTTCCGATTGTTAGTGAATCTCGGGCCAATCTCACGTCGCCCCAGCCCAGCAACCCCTTCATGCTGATGTTACTCGACGTTTAGATAGCTTAGAACGGCTAGTGGTTGAACAGCGAGGTGCCCCACCTCCACATCCTGCTGTTGACTCCGTACCCTACCCCCTCAACACCAATATAGTACTAGAACCCTATCCCACTGTCTTCAGAATACCACAACTTGAAACTTATGATGGGATGAAGGACCCTGATGATCATCTACATGCTTTCTACTCTTGCATGCAGGCCCAGAACGCCTCTGATGCGTTGATGTGCAAAATCTTTCCCTCTACCCTCCGAGGCAATGCTCGAACCTGGTACTACGGGCTGCCTCCGAGGTCAATCAACTCTTACACAGAACTGGCATCTGCTTTTGCCACAAAGTTTTTCCAGTAGAAGGTTGATCAGGAAAACTACTTCTGAGCTGATGCGAGTTAAGCAGAGGGACGGAAAGTCTTTGAAGAATTTTATGAGCAGATTCAATGATGCAGTGCTGGAAGTTAATTCTTTCAAGCAAGCTGTGGGAATTACAGCGGTGATCTCGGGTCTTGGCCATGAGAGGTTCCGAGATAGTCTGATCAAACATCCTGCCAACACCTTCAGCGAGGTAAACAACAGATCGTTGAAATTCATAACTGCTGAGGAATATGCCCTGTCGCAGAACCTCACACCTATTAAGAGCCAACACCCGAACTGGAGAGATGAGACTCCGAACAGGAAACGGATGAAGACAACACAGAACCGAGGTCTGATGTCGACTTCCACCCCGAGATTCGGAAGGCCGAACTCAACACCTCCGCAACAACCTGCAGGTAAACCTCCAGTTAATTGGACTCCTTTTAATTTGCCAAGGTCACAAATCTTTATGCAGATTAAAAATAAGATGGACTTGAGACGTCCGGGTCCAATGAGAACTACCGCTGCTACCAGAGACCATACAAGGTATTGTGATTTTCATCAGGATCACGGTCATACAACAGAACAATGCAATAGTCTGAGGTCCGAACTGGAAAGTCTGGCGCAGAAAGGAATGTTGAATGAGTACATTCAGAGAGTTGAACAACCACGGTTTGTCAGGGAACAAGGGACACAGCATCAAGGAGTCCGCAATCCCCCAAACAGGCAAGGTGTGGGATATCAGCAAGCCCCGCCCCCACTCCCACCACCAGCTAGAGTCATACATATGATTACGGGAGGTCTGGAAGCAGGTGGATTGAGCTCTAAGCAGCGAAAGTTGTATGTCAGAGAGGTTAAGCACCAGAACCGAGCTCAAAAGCGCAAATTTGACGATGCTGAGTGGAAGAATCAACCCATCACTTTCACCTCTGCTGATCTCGAAACAGTTGTCACACCTCACAGTGATCCTCTAGTCACTTCTGTCACGATCAACAACTGTGAGGTGCAGCGTGTCCTTGTTGACACCGGGAGTGCACCAGACATCATGTACTTCCATTGTTTTGAGAGCCTCGGGTTAGATCCAGCTCTGTTGCAGCGCTATGATGGTCCTATCTACGGATTCAACAACCAGCCAGTCCCGGTTGAAGGAGTCCTCACCATGAATGTTGCATTTGGAAGTGGCCGGAGTTATGTGACCCCTCCAGTTAGGTTTCTGGTAGTCAAGATGGCATCCTCATTCAACGTCGTCATTGGTCGACCCACACTGACTGAAATCCGAGCTGTGGTTTCCCAATCTCACCTATGCATGAAGTTCCCAACTCCTACGGGAATAGCAACGCTGCGCGGCAATCAGGAGGTGGCCCGACATTGCTATATCACCTCGGTAACACAACCTCAGAAAGGCAAGGCTCAGACACCCGAGATTAATTCCAAACAGATTCCTGATGATCGGCAAGTTATGGATGTTCAGATAGTAGATAACCGACCAGAGGATGAAACCAGAGCCGCTCCCGTCGAAGATGTGGAAGAGGTACAGATTGATGACAAAGATCCAAGCTGGAAAACACATATTGGGACTAAATTGAACCCAGAGGAAAGAGCAGAGCTAATAGCTTTTCTTCGGGCCAATAAAGATGTTTTTGCATGGACTTCAGCAGATATGCCGGGAATTCCCACTTCCGTTTTTCAACATAAACTCAGCACCAACCCCCTCAAGAAACCAGTAGCCCAGAAGCGACGCCTCTTCGGGGGGGAGAGGTTAAAAGTTATTAAAGAAGAAGTCGAGAAACTCCTACAAGCCGGCTTTATCAGAAGGGTAGATTACTGTGAGTGGGTCGCCAATCCAGTGTTGGTGAAAAAAGCGAACGGTAAGTGGCGGATGTGCATTGATTACACTAACCTCAACGATGCATGTCCAAAGGACTGCTATCCGATGCCAAACATCGATAAACTGGTTGAGGCAGCTTCAGGAAATGAGAGATTAAGTCTCTTGGATGCGTACTCAGGCTACCACCAGGTCCCAATGGCTCCTGAGGATGAAGAAAAAACCTCGTTCTATGCTGGTGACGAGATCTATTGCTATGTAATGATGCCCTTCGGCTTGAAGAATGCAGGTGCCACTTACCAGAAGATGGTTACCATCGTATTCCGAGCTCAGATAGGACGGAATCTGGAAGTTTATGTTGACGACATAGTGGTAAAGAGTTTGAAAGCTGACGATCACTTAACCGACCTTGAGGAGACATTCAACAATCTCAGACAGAATAGAATGAGGTTAAACCCAGCCAAATGCATCTTTGGTGTGGAGTCTGGAAAATTTCTGGGTTTCATGGTTTCCCGGAGAGGAATCGAGGTCAATCCAGAGAAGATCAGAGCAATTGCCGAGATGGAACCGCCGAAGTCAGTGAAGGATATACAGAAGTTGACTGGAAGGGTAGCAGCTCTTCATCGGTTCATATCGAAGTCTGCAGATAAGTGCTTACCGTTTTTCAAGATTATGAGGTCAGCTG